CCAGACTAAGACATGCTAGGAAGCGAGGCCTGGTGACTGAATTCCGAAAACCCGAGCAATGAGTCCCCGTGGGTCCTTACAGAACGCTGTCAGATCTGGCGCTGAAAGATGAGCCCATGGGGCGGCAGGCACTGCTAGGCCAACAGGAGTGGCTGACAACACACCTGAACACCGCTGGTCTGGGGCGGGAGCGGGCAGGGGCATGGCTCACACCCACAACTGCACTGGGGTGGGGGGGGGGGGGGAGAAGAGGCTCTGAGCCTGCCTCAGTTTCCCTATGAAAAGAGACAGGGCACAATGGCACCTGCCTTGTCTTGGGCCACCCAAGGGTGGGCCTCGTTCATCCACGGCTTAATAGACAGACCACATCACAGGTCTCTGTGGGAACTCACACGCCAAAGGCAAGTTTCCAAATGCAACAGGGTCACAGGGCAGACGAGAGGACGCCGGGGTCTGTCTGTCTCAGGGGTCAACATGCAAAGCCTGCACTTCCTTCAGCGTGTGGCCTGAAGTCCAGCACTCTGGGGTCCAGGGTCAGACTGCTCGGGTCTAAGCAGCTCAGAAGGTAAGTCCTAGACAAGAACTTCAGGGGGGTGCTCCTGGGGAAGGATCCAGGAGGCCCTGGAAGAAAGCCCTAGCTGTCGTCCAAGTGCCCAGCAGAGTTCGAACCTCTGACCAGAGCACCCGAGGAAGCGAGTCAGACACAGGGGAGCAGGTCCAGATACCATCCTCCCCAGGGACATCTTTAAAAAAAAAAACAAACTCAATGTCAAGTCCAGTCTGACTCCCGACAACCCTATAGAGCAAGGCAGAGCTGCTCCTGTGGGCTTCTTTGACTCTCACTCTTTCGGAAGTAGAAAGCCTCCTCTTTCTCTCTCAGAGCGGCTGGTGGCTTCAAACTGCTGACCTTGCAGTTAGCAACCCAACTGGGAACCACTAAGCCACCAAGGGCTCCTTGGTCCTGAAGAGCTTGGCCCAATCCCGGTTACAAAATCTGAACGGCCAGCTTCCCAGATGGCTGCAGTTTTACGATGAGTTTTCAAATTTTCCCACTGTCACTTGAGGCAGGACCCCAAGCACGTTGCCAGGAAAAAGTGCTGGCATCTGGGGGGCGGTGGGGGCTGAGGACTCTCTTTCCCTCCTTCCGGTTTTCATCATTTGATTGGAAAAGGGTGTCGGCTCAAGGTCCGACTTGCCTGGCGCAGGTCTTGGGCAGCGGGGCCTTGGTTACCGCCCAGCTTGCTGTCCTGAGACACGAGTGCACAGGCACTGAGAGGTTGGGTCGGCGGCAGGAGCTCCTCAAGACAAGTCCAGTTCCTGGAGGAAGTGGACAACAGGGAGTGGACAATCCCGGGTCTTCAAGGGAGGGGCCAGGCTAAGGGAAGGGGCCAGCCAACAGCTGGTGCTGGATGGTGAAAATGACTGTGGGCAGAAGACCCGGACCCTTCCATGCCCGTGGCATGGCCTGAGCCTGAGGAGGAGAAGGCAGAGGACACCTCTGACTGCTCTCTGGACTGTCACCCAGGCTCTGCCCCAGTCCCCAGCACCTGAGAGGCGCTCACCGAAAGACCACAAGGGGGCGCGGAAGCTGAGCAGAAACTAATGTTCTCAACTGGGTCTGAAGCCCAGAGCTCAGGGAAGACTGTCTGCTAGATCCAGATTAGGGTCAAGCCCTGCCTCCTGGTCTCCCTCACAGTCTGTCTTCTGTGTCTACAAAACAGCAAGACAGCCAGCGTCAGCAAAGGAAAACACGGGTCCTCCCCTAACAGAAGTAGCCCTGGTGGTTACGGGCTGCTAACTGCAAGGTCAGTTGTTCGAAACCACCAGCTGCTCCGACAGAGTACGGTGAGGCTTTCTACTCAGTAAAGAGTGACAGTGTGGGAAACCCACAGGGGCGGTTCCACTCCGTCCTAGAGGGTCGCTATGAGTCGGCATCAATTCAATTAGACAGTGGCTTTGGTTTGTAAGAGACAGGAACTTGATCACACCGCCCTCTGCCCCCGCACCTCCAAGCAAGGCAGTCCCCTGGGCATTCTGGCTCTGACCTTCCTGGTTGGTTTGGCACCCCACCCTGACAGGGTCTCAGATGACCTCAGCCCCAGGGCCCCACGGCTTTGTGTGCACGTCTCACAGGGAGCTGTGGCTTCTAAGGTCCATTCGCACAACGCGGGCTCTAGGTGTGAGGACGCTTTCTCATTCTCTATACTCCCACCCCCAGCACACACACAACAACCAACTGAATGCCATGAAGAAACTCGGCACTCACAGGCTGGAGAAGGAACCCCATTCCAGGGGGAACCCCGTGAGAGGAAGCGGTCAGCCCACTTCAAAGTCTGTTTTCTCCCTCATTTGTTCCCAAAGCGGATGCCTCGGGGCCCAGGCAAGGCACGTGGCAGAGCAGTGACATGGACCTTCCTGGGGGGCAGATGGTACCCTATAGCCCACCTTTCCTTGCTACCACATCCCATCCCTTTCCTGACCTGCATCCTATCATGATTACACTAACTGTGGTTGGGGGTCATCAGCTAACTGAGCTCCCAGGGACCCTGTCTCACAGCACAGAGCTGCCCGCTGTGGCTCAGAGACAGCGTGACCGGAGTAACTAACCATTACACACAAACTAGCCAGGCTGGTCAGAACCCACATGGGGGGCCCAGGCCCTCAGCACCAAAGCGAGCCTTTTGTCCCACGAAGATGGTGCAGTGCGTGAAGCACTCGGCTCCCAACCAAAGGTCATGGGTTCAAACCCACCGGCCACCCCATGAGAATGAGATGTCAACATCAGCTTCTGTTCACATGACCGCCTGGGAAGGCCAATGGGACAACTGTCCTCAGCCCTGTGCTGTTGCTGTGGGTCGGGGGTGGCTGGATGTGGTGGGTGTTTGGGGTAAATTTGTTCCACTGAAGAAACAAATGGAAGATAAACACCCTGGCAGGTTCTCGGGGCTCTCCCTGGCAGCATGCCCACCAAGGCTCAGAGAGTGGCAGTGCTCCGAATGCCCGAGGCCACAGGGGCCCAGAAGTCCTCACTGGAGCCTCCACCCCACCCTCCCTGCCCCGTGATCACCCCCATGGAATTACATCTGGGTGTCCCACCCCCACTCCCCACACACACACATTTCATCATCTCCCCACCTCCCTCTGTCTTCTAAGGAGCATCCTGACTGCACCGAAGACAGAGTTCTTTTCTTCTAAGGAAAGAAAGAATGTCTCTCTTCTCCCTGCTGTGTTTCTCTGCCTCTCTGTCCACCTCTATCTGTGTTATGTCTCTCAATCTTTCTGCCTCTCTGCCCATCCCTGTCTCTTTATCTCTCTTTCCATCCATTTCTACACCGATGTCTCTCCATCTCTGTCACTAAGATTCATCTCTATCTGCCTCTCTCTCCACCTGTCTCGTGTGCACGATCCCTCACCCTTGCTCGCTAGCTCTCCTTGTGGGAAGGGAGGTATCTACTGAAGAAACAGTGGGGCAGGGGCGGGTCCTGTCGGGTGAGGGCTACACAGGAGGAGGAGGGCAGAAACACATGCGGAGAATTCACACCGTGTGCCCCCAGAGCACTGCTCTTAATTCTAACCAGTGGCCCATGATGGAGAACGGCCAATCAGCCATGCTCACCTTACGGAGAGCAACAACCGTGAAATTCCTATCGTGTGTGAAGGTCACAGTCCGGACCTCTGACCGGCCCAGACTCCCAGAGCATGCTAGAATTCCAGGGCCTCACGTTTGTGGGCCCAGGAGTCCCCCGGGGAGCCACGCTCCCCACCGTTCCCACAAGGACTTCCCTTTGATCTCTCCCTGCTCCCCAAACGAGCCCCAGCCCCTCTTTCAAGAGAGCTTCCCAGAGCTTGTGAAACATGGAACTGAAGACGAGAAGATTTCCCCGGCCAAACTGTGTGCCACCCCCGGACATAACCACACACGTGTACATACACACAGACACGCAAGCACCCTTCTCATCACACGACGGACTGCACAGCGTGGGGGCCCGGCATCTTGGGAGGAGAGTTAGAGTGAGGACAGGTGTTACGGGGGCACGAGAAGCGACAGCTACCGCGAGACACATCTACGGGGCACAACAGGTGGGTGGCTGTCAACGGAACAGAAGGAAACAGACGAGGTTGAATGAAACCAAACAGGATGGTGACACAGAATGAGGGGGGCGGTGGGGGGGGGGTAAGAAGCTACAGTACAAGGCCGTCTCTCCTCCTCTCTCTCCCCCACAAGACAAGCGCTGCTACGAAGAAAACGGATAGTTACCTGCATCCATTTCTGCAAAGAATGGGACAGCCAGTCAGGAAGAGAAGGAACCAGAAATTCAGTGTCTCAGAGTGGGACGTGACAAGGTCACACGGAGAGAGCGCATCATTGAGGAAAACGTCCTGCCGCTTCACCTTGGCTAAGGGTGGGGGGGCCCCGCAGGAGCGCAATGGGTCCCTAACATCAGTCTTTCTTTACTTTACTTAACTCGAAAGGAAGTAAGATACGGACGGGCTCATCGGAGAAGGAAAAGTCTAGAGGCAAGCGGAGTTGCGGAATCTCACGCACAGTGGTTCTTACCAGCAGAGCTGAGCAACGCTGGGAGGGGAGGGGGCCAAGCAAAACGCGTGGGGGGGGGCACATCTGAAGGTGGCCCCACAGGAAAACACACGCAGCTCTGTGATGGGACGTGAAGTCAGGCAGAGACTCAGAAGCCAGATCCAAGTCATTTGTCCGACCAGTAGTTAAAACCCCCCACCCCCACCCCCGGACAGACGCCCCACTACCACCAGGGTGGGACAGATGGGCCCTGAGGTCCATGACCTACCCTGGCTCTCACACCAAAATCCATATAACGGGTTCACTAAAACTACCACCAAGAGGCCAATGACCTACTTGAGGAGTCTGGGGCTCATTGATCCTACTTTCCTGAACCCGGGCTTAGCACAAGGATTTAAAATACACTAAAGGGAAGAAACATAGCATCGTGAGCTGGAGGCTCCCTTCCGCGGGGCGGGCGTACCTTCCGGGGACTCTTCCTGGACGTAGGTGCCCGTCAGGTATCTGTGCACCAGGGCGGACTTGCCACTGGCCAAATTACCCACGATGCCCTGCAAGAGAAGAGAGGAACACAGGGTGTCTCAGTGGATGTACACCCCTCCATCCTGCCCCGGCAAAGAAAAGGTGCATAGACTCGTGGGGGGTGTTGGGAGTGGTCCAGGGCACCCTGATGTGTGGCGACCCCAGATCGGGGTAGATCTGCGCCACAGAGTAGCCAGCGACTTCTTTTCCCCACAGACCACCAGGCCTTTCTTCTGAGGGACCTCTGGGTAGACCTGGATTTGCAACTAGTCCCCGAGGGCCCCACTGTCTGTGGCCCCACGGGGATCCTGAAACAGAGTCACCTGCAGAATAATCAAAGCGAGCCTCGGCGGAACGGCCGCCCTGGAGCCCGTGGGACAGCTCTGGGAAAACGGGAAAGTGAAGAACCTCACCGTCATCAAGTGCAAACCCCACGGGACTGGACAGGGCTGCTCGTCTGGGTTTCTGAGAAGGTGCCTTCTCTGCATCTTGCCACCGGTCAGCCTCTGCTGGCGGGTGTGAGCCACCAAGCCGGCCCCTCACCCAGGTCACCTCCGTGAGCCAAAAGGGATTCCAAAACACTCGGGGGTCCGGCTCTTGTGGGTCACCAAGAACCACACGTGACCGGCCAAGGGCTCAAGCAGAAAGAAAGGGTTTCGGAAACGATGATGGTAACACTTGTCTAGTATGCTTGATACGACTGGAGGATGGGTCACTCTGTAAAAGCCCCCCATACAGTGATTTTCAAAAAGCCCCGCCTGAGGGGGCAGTAGTGTTCGTGCAGACCCGGCGGCCGCCTCCTCTCAAAGGCTGAGCAGGGTGCTGGCTGCCCCTGGACAGGGGTGCAGAGCCAGCCCGTTGCCTGCCTCCACTGCGTCCCCGCAGACAGAGCAAGGGAGGAGGCGGGGGCACAGAACACAGAGGACCCGGCCGTGCCTGCCCACGCGCACTGTTGGCGTGCTGAACTCAAAGGCTGGGGGCTGGAGTCTGCCCAGAGCAACCAGGAAGAAAGGCCTGGTGACCTGCTCTTGAAAAACCAGCCACCCACCCACTCTGACACACAAGGGGTGGCTAGCAGTCTGAGTAGACTGGCCGCCTTAGGTGGGTCCCCCCCCCCTTTTGGAGGATAGGGGTGGGGAGGGGTCATTGTTGCTTTGGGTATGTCCCATCATGACGGATTGGGGGTCCGATTATGGGGAGCCTCAGAGCCTCGATAGCATCCTACCCACACACCCCAGTGCCGGAAGTGCTCCTCCTGTGAGACGAGAAGCCTTCCCAGAACCCAAGACCGAGCCAGCGCCCCTCCCCTCCCTGTGACGGGCTCCCAGGAAGCTCGGGTCTGCTCCAAGGCTGATGGTCCTGAGGGGCAGGAGGGGCATCAGTCGTGTTGAAACCTGGGCATCTGGAGCAGCGGCCCCCAGCCCTGTAAACTCAGCACCTCCCCGGGAGGGTGGGGGTGGGGAGGATGGTGTGGAGGAGAGGCTTCAAAGCCAGGGAGCATTAATGAAGCTCCACCTCCTTCTCCACAGCTGCCCGCCTGCCCACTGGACCCATCTCCTCTCTGGATCCCTGGGTTGTCCTGCTCTGCGGTCATCTGCCGACGTCACTCATGGGTTCCAGGGTGCCCGCTGGCTGTGGGCTGCGTGCCCACTGGGAAGCCCCGAAGTCAGCCCAGGAGCGCATGTTCATCAGGCCAAGAGCCGCTGGAAACATGCCTTCTCCCACCCGGGCTCCCATGACTCGCCCCGCCTCCCAGGCGGGCAGGGCGGGGCTCCCTCTGGCCCTAGTGACCAGCTTCCAGGAGCCTCATCTGACAGCAGACCGTGGAGGCCGACAGAGGGACACAAGCTGGAACTGTGCTGTAAGCTGTGTTGCTGGGTTCTCGGCATCCTGGTGGCACTGGAGGCTTGATTCCTCTCCTGGGGCAGCACCCAAGCCCCGTCCTGGCATGCCCCAGGGCACACGGTTTCACCCCGACCTGACCTGCTGGTGACCAGACCCTGAAGTTGAAGGGCGGCCACTGGGGGGTGCGGGAGTACCGGTGGGGGCAGGGGGAGGAGGGGAGGGGGGCAGTGGCAGGAATGTAGATGGAGAGGGAGTCCTGGGGGCAGTAGTGGTGCCACAGGCACAGGAGGGCAGTGGGAGCAGAGTGTAGGCAGGATACTACAGTACACTGGGGAGGAGCAGACGTCACAGCAGGAGGTGCAGGGAAGTATACCAGAGGGAGGAACAGCAACAGGAGTGCTGTCTTAGAGTCGCAGGAGCCGACTGGGAACAGCGGAATAGAAGCAGCACACGCTGGGCTTGTTTATGTCAAGATGGAATTAAACGGCAACCAAGTTTCCATAAATTTTTTTTTGAAGTCCCCTTATGCAGTAGGCACCACAATATAGTGAGTGACCCCTGAACTCCCCACGGTGCTATTATAAGTAGGGGGCACAGGCTGCCTGGCCAGCCTTCGGGGTGGCTGCAGTACCGTGCTGCATCCCGGAAGAGAAGAGTGGCTGTGGCCTCTACGGACCCCCTGACCTCGGAGGACACAGGGACACTGATGTCCTCTCCAGCGCAGTCCACAGGACTCGCGGCAGCCCTCACATAAAGGGCCCATTGGAGCTGGCTATGATGTCACTCAGTGGCTGGGCTGGGGCAGCAGGGGCCTGGGTGTCCAAGGCACTGACTTACAGTGCCACCTGGCTGGGGAGGTCACACCCGGGGGACAGTAGGGGCCTGGGTGTCCAAGACACTGACATTACGATGCCACCTGGCTCCAGGACTCATACCCGGTAGGGAACAATTGCAAGCCTATCGAAGCACAGAGCCCACCCTGCAGGACAGTGGATGGCTCTCAGTTAGATCCTAGAGATTCCTGGGCACAGAGGGGGATATGCTGGGGGAAGCGGTCAGCAAGCTGTCTTTGCAGTAGAGACGCAAAAGGCTGGGCAGAACCTGTGTCCCTGACAGCCTCCTGTCCGTCCACCAGAGACCAGAGGCTGTGCAAAGGCATGTATGGCTCGGAGGTGGGATCACTGCCCACTTCAATCCCCAAGGGACAACCAGCTCACTCGGGGCCTGGAGCATCCATTGTAAAGGTGCTTAATTTGGGGGTGCACAAAGCCTGCTACCCGCCTCCTGGGCAATTCCCCAGAAAATGACAGGGGGCTAGATACACCATTGCTCAGGCGCACCTGTGTGACAATGCACATCACTGCAGGGTCCCCGAGTTGCGGCCATTCAAATGCCCAATGGGGACAGAACCTGAGGGCTGCACAGGAAGGACTGGTAACAGTTCATCTGCAGCCACGGTCCACAGAGTGGCCATGAGCCACCGGGGACCGTCTCCAGCTACGTGAACGAAAAATCTCTCTGCATCGAGTCCATCCCCACTCACCGCAACCCTACAGGGCAAAGAAGCACTGCCCTGTGGGTTTCAGAGGCTGTCTGTCTTCAGCAGGACAGACAGCCTCACCTTTCTCTGCGGAGCAGCTGGAGGGGCTGAACCCCCGACAATGCAGCTAGTTGCCCACAGTGTCACCTGTTACACCATTAGGGTTTTTCAGTGGACAAAAGAACTAACCTTTAAAATCCAGATCCTTCAGGGCCAACATGAGACAGCGGGGTATCCTGATGGGTCAGCACTTATCTGACGGCACATCGCAGCCAGAGGCCCACCGTGCGTGTGCGTGTACACACACACACACACACACTATTTAGAAATGGAAAAAGGAGATATAGATACAGCTTATATACATAAAGATAATAAGAGAATAATTTGATGACTTACCTGTAAAATCAAAATGTATTAAAAACATCTAGAAAATGTCATCAAACAAAATTTTCTCCAAGAAAATAGAAAATAATATTCCTACTAAGAAAACAGTGATTTTT